TGGAGGCGCAGCCAGGCAGCTCTGCACACTGCCCCGTCCGCAGGCACCACCCCTTCAGCTCCCATTGTCTGCTGTTCCCAGCCAATAGGAGCTGTAGGGGTGGGATTTGGGGTGGGTGGGCTGTGTGTAGAGCCCCCTGGTGGCCCCTACATGTAGGAGCCAGAGGGGGGACATGCTGGCTGCTTCCCGGGAGCCACGCGGAATGGGGCAAGCCCCCGACACTGCTCCCTAGCTGGAGTGACGGACCAGCACAAGCCCCCAACCCCGCCCCCTGGCGGGAGCTCCAGGGCCGGATTAAAAGGTCTGGCAGGCCGGATGCGGCCCGTGGGCCATAGTTTGCCCACCCCTGCAATAAACGGTGATCCCTTTCAACCACAACCATGGCACACTTGGGAAATCGTGGTTGTGTGTCCCAGATTTCACCAAACAGGGGTGAATTACTTGTTGAATTGTTTGCAGTTTAAGGGCTAGCATTGAAAACCTCCCCTGTTTCCCCTAGGTGGCCATATGCGATATCACTCTCCTGAGGGTAACAGAGGTGGAAAGGGAGCAGATGCTGCAAGCGTCTGGGTACAAACCTGGTCTTTATGCTGCAATGCTGTGTGCCGCAATGATGCCAGACGAGTTAATATCGGAGTGGTGTGGCGAAGTGTCCTACCGTGGTGGATGAAATAAAGCCCCCTTCCCAGAAACCTTCTGCAAAGGATTGCAGAGTACCTCCATGAAAACTTCCTAGAGATCTCAATGGAGGATTCCTGGGCCATCCCCGTGCACATAAACAGACTTTTTCAGAGAGCACCCTCTGCATAGATGGAGTGGCCACCGATACCCACTACACCTACCTTTTTGTTCAAATTAAACATTAAAAATAATAGCATGTAACCCCTACGGTTTGACTGGAAATGTGTATGCACAAGAGGTGCCTTCCCCAGCATCACGCTGTGCCGGCAATTGGTCCTGTGAAGGGATGGGCTCCAGGGTAAAAAACAGTTCTTGGCTGTTGGGGAGAATGGATCTTCTGCTTGCCTGCCTCACATTCTCCTCCTCCTCCTTCTCATCAACAATGTCCTCCACGTTGTTGCTCAAGGTCACCCGGGGCTCCTGGGAGGTATCCACAGAGTGTTTTGGGGTAGTGGTGGGGTCGCTGCTGAGAATCGCATGCAGCTCCTCATAAAAGCGGCATGTCTGTGGGGCAGAACCAGAATGACTCTCTGCCTCTCTTGTCTTCTGGTGCGCTTGACGAAGCTCCTTTATTTTCACGCGGCGTTGCTGCGTATCCCTGGTGTAGCCCTTCTCCCCTACGGTCCGCACAATCTTGGCATACATGTCAGCGTTTCTTCTGCTGGATTGGAGCTCTGCCTGCACAAACTCTTCTCCCATAGGTGCCAACTGCGTGGGTGCTGCAGGACTGGAGCACCCACAGAAAAAAATTAGTGGTTGCCAGTCTTGGTCATCAGCGGGCCAACAGGTTTAGCAAGTGCAAGAGATTCCCTTTGGGTGCCAAGATTTTGCAGTGATGCAGAAGCAGCTTCTTCAAAACAAGGTACGATTGTCGGGGCAAAGGATTGGTAACACTACTTTCACTGCAGAAAGGTTATTGTGATTCTGGGGGAAATGCATCAGTATTCAGATTGTTTGCTAGAGACCAGTCATACCCCCCTCCTCTCCCATGAGCTCAGGACTGGCATAAGCTGAGGGTTGAATTCCCCAGAACCCAAGAGCGAGGGGGGGGTGTGTTTTTTACATTCCTTGGTAACCACTTCCTTCCAGTTAGCTGATCCAAGAATGTTTGTACAGCGATTTGTCGTCCAAGTGAATATAGATAAGACCTGGATCCTATTTCAGTTGTGCCGCTCACTTAGGGAACTGAACCCGCCCCATTTCAAGCGGCTTTATTCCTAGTCCTCCATACGCTGCCCCCTTGGTTAGCGGGCAATGGCCCTGGGTCGGGAGAGAGAGAGAGGATTGAACTAGCCCCGACAGGTGTTTGTCTCTGGAGGGCGGAGCCCCGCGCGGGAGACGCGGGGGTCGATGGCTGCACGGGCGGGGGAGGCTGTTGCGCTCCGCGCGGGGGACAGAGTGGAGGGAACTCGCGGCCGGCCGGGCACGTCACTTACACTCACCCTGATGCGCCCACGCCCCGCAGCCGCTCCGAGCCCGGGGGCGGACCGGCGCGGTTGCACGGAGAGGGGGAGCGGAGTTGTGCGGGCTCCGCGCTGGGGGGCCCGGGGGCTGGAGGCGGGGAAAAGGGGCTGAGGGACTGGACGCTCGAACAGCCGGTGCAGGTTAGACCCGCCGCCCACGGAGGCCACGAACAGCTGCCCGCGCTCCGTGTAATGGGCGCACGGCCGCGCGTGGGCTCGGGCAGGTCCTCCCACGGTGCAGGCTGGGCGCTGAGCCCGGGGCCGAACCAGTGACCCCGGCCCAGCGCGCACCCCCCCCCCCCCCCGCTGCCCGAACAGCACGTGGGTGCCAGGCAATGACACCAGCCCCGCCCCGCCCGGCTGAGACTCCGCCCCTTTCCCGCATGGCCACGCCCCCTTAGCCCTGAGCTGGGGCGGCTCCGGGGCTGCCACAGACGCTCCGCAGCCTTCGCCCCGCGAGTGCCCCCTGCTGCCGCTGCCATGGTCTCGGCTCCGCGCTGCCCGCCCGGCGCCCGGGGGCTCCTGGCGCTGCTGCTGCTGCTGCCCCTGCCCGGGGCTCGCGGTGAGTGGGGCGGGACTCGCCTCCCCCCTGGCTCGGTGGCTTCGAAGCCTTCCCCGTCCCGCTTCAGGCTGTTCCCGCCCCCAGAAACCGTGCCTGGCCGCGGGAGCGGAACCGGCTCGTGGCCGGCTGGGATCGGTAGAGCGGGATGGACCGTAACGTGCCCAGTCTGCCTGGGGGCTTGCACGGCGGTGCGCGCTCCTGCCGGGGTGTAACAGTGACACTCTTGTACCAAACCCTCCAGCAAACCAGCCTCAAAGCGGCGATGGGAGCAATCCAGCCACATTGTCCCCAAGGAAACGAGTTACAGGGATTGCCCAGTTCGTAGAGTCTGTATCTTTTCTAGCTGACTTCTCCCCTGCTTCTGTCTGTCTCTATGGCTAGGCCAGTGTGGTTCTCCTCCAAGGCTCAGTTTTGCTGAGGTAACCAGGAGAACGTGGAGTCGCTATCCTGTTGGATTCGGTCTGAGCTACTCCTGTCGCCCAGGATACACTCTGGCCTCTGGAAAGTCTCCTGTCGTTATATGTGATGCAGATTCAACATGGTCAGTAGACCCTGAGTTTTGTGTAGGTGAGTGTCTTTGTTGCTTTTGTGTCTCAATTGATTTATAAGCCACCTTTTCCCCAAAACAAGGGAGTCCCAATTCTGTAACCGGTTCACTGTTAACCACTGGCTTCCATGAACACTTTCTAAATCCCGTTTAGTTGGTTCTTTCTTAGATTAATAGTTGGGCTTTTTAATGACATGTTTGTTTAAAATTCCCAACACTTTTGTCTTGGCACTTGGCAGATCACTTTAAGAGCAGCGGACATACCAACTTCCAGTCATTTCTGTTTTCTGAGTCGAATGCTCTCAGGCTTACGAGGAGGGATAGATTTACCACCTTTCTTGACCCTTTTTATGCATCAGCATGTTATAGACCCTAGACAGCATCTTCAGAATAATGCATTTCTTGTCACAGGGCCAGATTAAGCTTTCGTGGGCCTGGTGCCAAGCATATTTGTGGGCCCTCATGGGGGCAATGGAGCATGGTGGGGGGGTTGGTCCCCAAAGCGAGGGGCCAGCCAAGGGTATGGGAGGGGTGACCCCACTCTGCCCAGCCCAGTGTGAGGGCACTATTTACAAAGCAGCCGTTGCCAGATGCACAAAGGCCCTCCCAGCCCTGTGCTGCCAGCATGCTCCTTCCCCTCAGGGGTGGTCCCATACTGCATTACACAGCCCCTCCCCGCCCAACACTGGAACACCCCCCCCGATTCTCTATGGACAGAGCCCCCTGTGCCCGCTATGCCCAACGCCCCTGCAGACCCTGCCACAAATGCACAGCGCCCTGCACACCACCACCCCTACCCAGTGCCCTCTGCCCACACAGATCTTCCCTGCCCCCTCACAGCTGAGCACCCCCATCAGGCCCACCAGAGACCCACTCCCCCATGCCCTGCCTCCTAGCCACACTCACTGGCCCTCTGGGAGCTGACTGTGTCTGCCGGACTGAGCTGGCAGCACAGCCAGGCTGGTCCCAGGGTGGGGAATCGCTCCATCCCCTCAGGAGTGGCACGATCAGCCAGGCCAGGGCCTGCTCCAGCCAGGATCCCTCAAGACACACTTGCCTGGAGGGGCCCAGCCAAGCTCCCCCCACTGTCTCCTCCACCCCCACAACTGGTCGAGACTAGCCAGGCTTCTGTACCAGTCCCAGGGGGTTCAGCTCCAGGGAGACAGGTGGGGCCCCACAGATGGTGGGAAGTAGAGACTGCCCAGAGCCAGAGGTGCACTGGAGTCTGGCCAGGGGGAAAGAGAATGGGGTGGGGCCAGGGGGCAGAGAGGATCCCTTGGCCTGAGGAGCAAGTGATGGGCAGCAGGGAGCCAGCGGGCTGGTGGGGTCTCAGGGCACAGAGCAAGCAGAGCAGGCCGGGGTCCCTTCTGAGCATGGGGCTGGCTTCATGATGCCACTGGCGCCATTGTAAACCCGGCACTGCTTATCTCCCAGAGACCACACTGTCCATATGATGCTCCTATGACTATTGGGAGGCATTCAGTGCCCACCGGTGGTGATGCTGGATTTTGGTATTTTACCTATGCTAGTCAGCTTTAAATGGAGGTATAAAACAAAGGACATTTTAAACCTTAACCTGCTTTAATTTCCCCAATGATCTTGGTTCTTACCATGTGACAGCTTGTCCAGTGTTCTATGCAAATACTCAAATACAGCTACAACTACAACTCGCTGCAGTTAAATTCAACATGTTCATTGGATTTCCCATTCCTGGCTTAGGGAACATCACAAATTCTGCAACCAAGTGAAAAACCTTGGTGTACTATCTCTTTTTTGAAAAATTGAAGTCACTCTATTCCCTAATGCCTATGTGAGGAGAAACTATTTATTTATTATTGGTTATTATCTTAGAAAACTAATGAATATAGATTTTAGCCATATTAAAATCACTTTACTAAAAGTAAACCCAGTATTGAATAACAATGTATTACAAACTTGGTAAAATACTAATTCATAATAAAACTCCCGGATTCCAGCCCCACTCAGGTTTGGCCCAGCTGCCAAGATGACAACAGCCTGAAAAGGTGGAGGCAGATTAGGGGTTTGTGGGGCCCTGGGCCAGAGCAAGTGGGGGCCCCATGCCACCCCTTCTACCTGCAGTCCTCCATCTTCCTCCCCAGGTGCTCCAGCCGGGGAGTGGGGTTGGGGCACGGAAGCTTGCCCTGCCCACCCGGCACTCCTGCAAGACCCTGCACCCTGACCCTGCTCCCCAGCAGAAGCACTGGGCAGGTGCATGGAGTGGGTCGGGGTGCAGGTGCACTTATTTTTCTGGGGTGCCCCAATTGGCCAGGGTCCCTGGGCAAGGGCCCCGTTGGGTCAGTGGCTAATGTGCCATTGTGGGTAGGCCAAATCTGAGTGGCATTGCAACCCCATGAGCCAGGTCACAACTCCAGTCTCCCAAATTTGGTCCAGTCGAGGGGCAGGGCCCAAACCGTAGTGATGTTACAATCCTGGAGGCTGCGACGACTGAAGCAGAGAGACCAACTCAGCCAGCCCCTTGGCACAGGAACTGCAGGAACCACCACTGTGGGATGAGTGCCAGGCAGGGCCCAACCCTCCTGGGATGCAGGACGTGACCGAAACCACCCCAGGGCCTCCATGTGCACACTATTTACTGGGTCACGACAGATCGTAAACATTTACAAATGGGGCCTCAGCCCAGAAAAGGTTAACCACTGGATTAGACCATTGGCTTGATCTGCCATAGTATTTGCTATGTTAGGGGATGCAAGTTAGCATATCCCTTTTTCTTTTCCCCATTAAGGTAATATGAGGTAACACTAATATTAGTCTTGTTTTCTTCTAGGAAAACCATGTAAACCACTAGAACTAAAAAATGGCAGAGTTGATTTAACCAATTTCCGGTTTGGTGAAACAGCAAACTTCTCCTGTAGTGAAGGGTGAGTGGCAAGTTGCTGCTTTGGACTAAATAACAAAACCTAGACTGGTGTAATACTGCTAATGAAGTCTGGCAAAATGAGACTAGAAAGCCTGCGTAACTTCAAGAACATAAGTGAGTGGGGTGCTATAAATCTGTAGCTATGGGCTGGGCCCTTGTTAAGAATTACACCTGTGACTTTCAAAGGTGTTGAAGGAAGATAGCCACCCATTTATGGCTGGCCTTCAGTGGGAGATGGGCACTTATCTCACTCAGGTGCTCTTGGAAATCCCAGCCTAAACCTTCAACAGGTCATCCCAGCAGCTGCTGGATCATGAGTCCTAAGGGAAAGCCCCACCTGAAGGGTAATGTGGCACTCACTGATTGGTGCCATCCCTGCTCTGTTACAGGGACTGTTATTGGTCAGTCTTAGCATCTTGAATCGGTGCTGGGATTGTGAGGCAGAATATTGCCCATAAAAGGCAGCACCAGCGAGAAGCAGCCTTCTTCCTACTCTACCACAGCAAATATTTGTCTGTCCCTTTGTTATAGCTGTCGATAGTTATCAGGGCAGTGTCAAGTTCAGTTGTTGCTTTTGTCCATATGGGTAATGTGACAAGCCTGGGGGAATCATAAATGGGTTTTGGCCTCATTCCATTGAGCAGGTGCTTTCTGGGTGTTGAGATAACTGAATAGATCGCATTGCATGGGGACAAAAACACAACCAACAAGTGCAGGTCTGTGTGGTGGTTTTTTTTTTTGTTTTGTTTTGTTTTTTTGTTTCCCCACCCCCCGCCCCACTATATCACAACCCCTGCTGCCAGGTCAAGCCCTCTAAAGTTAAGTCCTCTGGGAAGAGCAGTCAGATGTCTCTGGGTGGCAGCTGACCCCCCAGTCTGAGTGAGAAGACATGGTCGCGGAGGTAACTCCCTGATGGTGGCTGACTTGCCAAACCCCATGCAAGTTAAATGCCTTTTTCTGTGGATTGGTTGTCAGCCTGATTTCTGGGTGAAGTAGGTTGATCCACAGTTGAAGGATTTGTAGAGGTAGGGTTTCTTTGCAGTAGCCTACATGGACTGAAGGCCTTGGATTTGTGCAGTTCCCTGGGTTTAGGGTTAGGTTAGGTCTTGGACAGTTAAGATGCTCAGGTTTTGAATATGGAAGGGAGATGGGGTCAGGCGGGTGACAGCTCAGGGCAGCTGACTTCTCCCCATCGTTTCTGTCAGGATGGTTGTCTTTAGGTCTGATTTTTATTTTACAAAACATTGCTGGGGAGGAAAGGTAAGGTGAGCTGCTTAAGCTGAGTCATTGACAACTGGGGTAACACAACTGAGTGTTCAGAGAAGAGGTGTAGAGTACTGCTGCAGATAAAAGGACAGTAATTCTAAGGTGTAGAATGGCGACAGCTCGCGTTTCAAATGCTCTCTTAAATCTTAGAAACATCAGATAAGGCACAGCCTCCTACCCAGCAAGCCCTTTTTCCCACATGAGAGCACAGTGAGCAGACCAGTCATGTCTAAAATAACATGGTTTCCTGGGCATTTATTAAGTTTTATAGCAGGGATGATTAGAGCCTTCTTCCACCTGTTAGAGATTTGCACTCCTTAATATTTGTATCTCCAGTTTAGAAGAAGGATCACTTGTTCCCCTTTGCAAAGAATTAACAAGCATTCCCAAGCATCTGACTAGTGTAGATGAGAAGTGGGGGCATTCTCTTAACAGTTGTGCAAGTTTATACTCACTGGTTTAGCTCTAGATTGCCTTTAGTTACTTAGAGTTCCTTGGTCTTATAGTGTTAGACATATCATGTTTTATAGCAGAGATGACTTTGGTCAATCATTTGTCTCCACCTACTGGCATAAAGAAACCATGTTCCAGCTTTCTAAACTGTAACCTAGTTCTTTCCTTACTTCAGTAACAAATTTGAACCTTTTTTCTTTAGTTACAAATTAATTGGACCGACTTCTGCCCAATGTGTGCTTGAGGGAAATGGAGTTGATTGGAATAAGGAGGTTCCACTTTGCAAAGGTAAACTAATTTAATGGTTTTAAGAACAGTTCACGTCTGGAGATGATGCTGCATAGCTGGTGCTACAGAGGAGTCTCTGTTCTTACATCTTTTAATCCAAATAAGAGTAAAACTTGAGGATGTATGTTTGGTTGGGGAGAGAATGAAATCATACTGTGGTTCACCGTGGTGTTTGGATGACTCCTATAGAACCAATGCTTAAAACAAAGTCCCTTCTAGATTGTTCACCTGGCACTGTTTAATATTCATAATCCAACAGGCCTCCTGGCACCTCTTCACTATAGTATCTGTGTAATCCTGCTGTTCGCCAAGTAAAAGGCATGATATTGACTTCAAGAAGTCTTGACCCTTCCCAAACCTGACTATCCACTTAAAATCTGAGGCTCTTTGGGAGTGAATCACAATTAATTTGCCTCTACTTCGATCTCTTGGATGATTTCTGGGCTTGGTCTGTCAATCATGTCCAGTTTCTAGAATCAGCTGCTGATACTAGAAATGTCCTAGCTTAGTTTTCTGCTGGTGGAACAACACTACATCTAGAGATGGCAGGGAAGAGGTTCTGGCTCCCTGAGGCAAATGTTGGGGAGGGGCACGCTCTGATAAGTTCATCTTCTAGAGCTGGTGTTTTATGGAGCATCCTCCTCGAGCAATGGACGTACTGGGTTGGGTCAAGCCTAAAAGCAGAAAAACCTTCAGAATCTGAAGGGGAAATCTGCTTCAAATGTGTTAGTGCAATGTTAAGTACCCTTCCAAATGGCTAAATAGCTTTCTGGGGGGATCTGAGGCAGTTTTCTTAGTGAAACTCTCTTCAGTTCACCTTCAATGTGAACTTTAATTTTCATGTTGACATTCTTTGCTTCAGCAATATCTTGTCGTCCACCTCCTGATATCACCCATGGATCCCATAATGCTCTGATTGGAGAAGAATTTTTCGTTGGCTTAAAAGTAACTTACAAATGTGACCCGGGCTTCTCTCTTATTGGAGAGGCCTCCATTCATTGTACAACGAAAGATAATGTCAATGGAGAGTGGAGTGGTCCTGCCCCTGCATGCAAAGGTTAGTAGCATCTGTTTTCATCCTCCTCTTAATTTATTATCTCCTCCCAGGAACAACTATATTTTGATTGCTAAGCAAACCCATAAACCTTAGAAAAGTCCATATTTATTTCCCATAAATACATAGCTTGAAAACTAGCTACTGTTGGAAACCCAATCGCTAAAGAGGGAATGTCACTTCATAAATGATTTCTGGAAACCATTTTGCCTCTTGTACATCCTGTGGTTGTCTTGTCTATCCTCAGTGTTCCAAGACTGCAGTTAATTCTCATGTCAAACAGTTTAAGAGTTTTTACCTAAAGAGAACTATGGTTCTGCTTTTATGCCAGTACCCTACTATTTGAGTGGTGAAGGGGAAGACATACAAGCAGGATGGTTAGGCAACCCTCTTTTTCAGAACTCTCTGGGAGGGCTCCTTGGCAGTGAAGGCTCATGCCTTTTTTGGTGGGGCGGGGGCAGTGTGAGAAATAAAGATCACTGTGCAATCCTCATGTTGTGACTGCAGTGCAGTGCTCACACACACGCTGCATTTAGCTAACAATGCCTTTATATACTTGGTGTCCAAGCAGCTCCACCATCTTGGGCTTATTCTTGATGGGTTGCCCATCTTAACTGGGATTGAGGCATGGTTTGGTGGGTTGCTAACTTCACTACAGAATATAAAGCTCCCAAAAGCAGGAATGTGAATGTAAGTTCACTTTAATGGTTTCATGAATAGTCCATGACTGGAGATGCTGCAGTGTAACTGATATTAAATGTTTGAGTGATTGTCTACACAGATTGCACTTGTGGAGTGCATGAGCCCCATGTGTGTAAGACAGGATCTTTTGAATAGCAGTGTCCACTGGGGCAGTGTCTGTTCCCTGGATGCCCTCTCACCATGTAGGTGTAGGTATGAAGGTTAGAGCACCTCAGCTGTTGTAAATTGGGTGGAGACCCGGGGCTTTGTCCCTGCTGACTGGAGTATCTCCAGGCAGCACTGTACTCGCCTTTCACCATATATTTCCCAGCACAGACAGGTTTCCCAGGGACACCTGCCTGCTTTCTCTTCAGAGGGTTTTTAACAGGTATAATTGCTACTGTTATACGTACCTCACAGTTGTTCCTATGCAGGTCAACTTTATTTTTAAGCTAAAAAGCATTACAGGGAGAACGTGCATGCTAATAAGCTTCCCAGATTTAACCCAACCACGTCTCTGCATTCTGGCAGGCATAGTCCTTCATCTCCCACCCAAGGGGGATTCCTTCTGGTTATTAATTCATCACAGCTCTAGCTCAGAACAAGCACCTGATCCTTCCAACCCTTTCTAAAGGATTGGGGCCCTCCATGGACAAGGGGTCCTATCCATTTGCTGGATCAGGAAGAAAGCCCTGAGGCTGTTTAAAAAAACCCAAGCTATTTATCCAAAAACGCTTTCTTTGTTGGTCCCTGGAGACTCCAGTATGAACTGGTATATGCACCTCTCTGGGGGCTGGCTTCAAAGGCTGATAACCAAGGAAGTACACTAGCATCCCCCTCCCTCTAGAGAAGGTACATGCAATGCCACTACACATTCACAATTGCATTTAATACAATGGACCCCAAGGTATTAACCCTAATTCAATAAGATGAAACTTTATTGAATTAAGTTAATCTTAATTCCATACGGTTTGTTCAGGATATTGTCAGCCTGTCATCCGTCTCCAGGTTTCTGGTTTCTCAACTCAGCTTTCCTGGTATCATCCCTTTAGGTATGTGGTGCCCTCTGGATGTAACATCAGAGTTTGTGAAACAGCCTGACTCCAAAAAGTGGGAATAACCTGCCAGTCGTCCCAACATCATTGAAAATCCAGTGCAGGAAGAAACTATTTCCTTTAAAAAAAAAAAAAAAATTCTAGGAAGAGGTTAAGCTTTAGTCTGCTGTTCCTGTGTGGCAGGGTTTTCAGTGTGAGTTGCCTGGGAAATAGGTCAGCTGCCATAAGTGCACTAGCTTTGGTTGTTTCTTGATTCAGACATAACATGAACCTCTGATGCTTGGATTCTGTGCCCTGCCCTAGAAGAGGCTGCATTTCAGTGGGGAAGGGGCTCCTGTAAAGTGCAAATCTGTGTAGTATCTAGAAAAGCCCTCTGGGATCCTTCAAGCTGAGTCACTATAGGAGCGTAAGACACTGTTAAGACGCAAGTTCTGCTCTTCATTCCACCAGTGAAAAGCCCAGGTGACTCCATTGATTTCCGTGCACTTGTCCCTTGCTGCAGAGGAGTCCGACTGCAATAAAGGGAAGAGGTTTTTACCACAAGTGTGCACAGGAACAAACTGCATGTTAACGATCCCAAAAACCACCTGTGCTCTGTTGCCCCAGCTGTGGTGACACCTCCACACAATGCCAGTCAATAAAATACTGGGTGGGATTTCTGTGTTTAACTCAAATGCTTTTCTTTAGGTCTTGGTTTGGTAGAATGGTGGGGCTGGAATCTAATGCCTCATTGTAGGTGTTGATTGGATCACTTGATACTCACTCTGAGCTGAATCCTGAAAGGTGCTGAACACCTGCTATTCCAATTCACTTCATGGTTGGCTCCACACTCAATCATGGACCCTCTTTCTCTATTGAGAGAGATATTCACAGGGTATCTGGTTTTACGGGTTGTTTATAAACCATAACTACAGTGAAATACACTCAAGACCCTTTACCCGCAGTTTCTGTTCTCTTCCATTTCAAGCAATAACCAGCATTCACAGTGCATCTGCTCCTCTCAATGAACTGCCTTCTCTTCTGCATTTTCTTTTCAGTTGGGTGTCTGAAGGCAGAGGTGCAAAATGGAAACCTGCTCAATGCATTGGATGAAAAAATGTGGTACAGTGTGAATGAAACCATTCCTTTCAAATGCTCTCCTGGGTACCAGGTTTCAAGCCATTCCCACCTGCCTGCAACAGACAGATTTAGTATTACTTGTTTAGCAGATGGCAGCTGGACAGCATTACCGAAGTGTGTAAGTATCACTGTCCAGTTGGGTTTCTTGATGCACCCTGCCCAATTTCTAATATAAAAAATAGTAATAACCATGCTTTGATTTAATGAAGCAAAGACTTAACTTATTGCAAAGACCTCATGCAGGTAGGAACACGTGCCATTGATATACCATATGGTGAAAAAACATGTTTATCTGAAAACAAAACACATTTTCCCTCACTACATCTTCTCCTATTTAAAAAAAAAAAAAGCGATCTTCCTTTTATAGCAGCTGTTCCATGCAAAAAGTAAAATTTGGTGGGTAAAAATCACAACAGGAAGAAAACTTCCCTATGACAAAACAGTCAGATTTTTCTAGGCAATTCAAGTGTGTTACTACTGTAATTAGTGAGATTGCAGTGTGCTCAGCTCTACGTAAAAGGAAGGCTGGTTCCTTCCCAATGTGTTTATAATCTATGTGCCAAACCTTAAGTTGCTCAAAACCTCATCACTGTTGCTTAGTAGTGTCAGTTTCTGTAGAATTGACTAGGATGTGAGGGTGTGCAGCATGCTCAGGCCCTGAGGCAGATACATGTGACATACACTGAGTCAGACTCAAAGGAGCAAGCATACTTGAGAGGGCAAGTCCTTCTCTTCTGCAGCATAACCATGTTCCCTCTTTGATTTACAGAACAAGCAAAGCACTTCTGATGTGTGTGAGATGGTTCCTGAGAGCAGAGAATTCAAAGAGTGTGGTGTGCCTCTGGAGACACTGAGAACTCTGCTGGAAGTGCAGAAACTGTATCTGGAGATTGAGAAACTGAAGCAGGAGCTAAAGTCACAATGAATAGCTGAGACCTGTGATCCGTATTGTGATAAACTGTCTCCCCTTTGGATGCAGTTTATATAATTACACTACACAAAGGATAATTTTTACTGATTTTATAGATCTTGCTAATATAGCTAGTAACTCACAATAGGCAGTAAATCAGGGATCAGATTTCCTTCCTGGGTGCTGTTTTTAGGATTTTTTTTTTATGTTCTTTCCCCTTGAATTTCACAAATTTTGAGTTTCCACTTGATGATAAACTAGGGATTTCAGGTCCTTGTACAGGTTTTAGGGGTTATAGTGAAGGATTAAGTTGAGATTTGGTTTTACTTGGGTAAATTAACCAAGTAGCATGGAAGCAAATTATCAGTTGTTACAAGCTTTAGATCCTATGCAAAAGGAAACTCAAGACTAACTTCAGCTTTGTAGACATCCCACAATTTCTGCTTACATTTAACTTTAATGCACCAAAACGTGCACATTCAAAGTGGTGAATGGGTATTTAAATGCCCGATTTCCACACACCTTAAGAGCAGTGATGTTAATCAATTCCTTCACCACTCTAAAAATGCCACACGTACATTAGGAGTAGATGAGAAGCAACCGTCTGAGCCATTTCCCCAATAAACAATAGGGGTGTTCTCTAACCTACATCTTTGTGATCAAGTAATTATTCCTGCCCTGCAGGGCTACAATAAAATGCAATTGTAATAACTGCTGATTGTCTTTGTTTTTGTAACTTTTTCTCTTTGGCTGTAAGGCAGGGAGATGCCCAGCGTGTTTAAAGGATCGTTTCACTGAGAGCGAAGAATTAATTCCTTCTCCTTCTCCAGCCCAGTGATTAGTCTGAGTGAGCCCATGGAGACTGACCCTTCCCCTCGCACCTAGAGTGCTTAGGGTTGAATTGAACTGGCAAGGTAGTGGAAGGGAAACTTGTCCTGTGGAATAAGGGGGGCATGCCAGTTTTTAGCGCTTTTTTTTTTTTTTAAACCACTGTTGATGGACCCAGGGGGGTCACGGATTCAGCTACATTCCTGGGGGAACAGCACGAATTAATTTGGCCAATAGGATAAGTAGGAAAGATGGTTGGTAAATGCTTCTGTCTCAAAAAGAACAGGAGTATTTGTGGCACCTTAGAGACTAACACATTTATTAGAGCATAAATCATTGCTGCAGTGGAGGCTTTGATCAGGAAGGGATAGCATAGCGCTGCTCTGAGAATAACGTCACTTGTGATTGTCCCTATGCCAGAAATGTAACAGTGCTGCAGTCTCCTCCAGTGAGAAACCTTAGCTGTATAAAGCCAGGAGCAGCTAATGGAAAAAGAACAGCAGCAGAGAAATAACCTGCAGACTCAGCCTTTGCAGGTTGGGGAATCTTCTGTCTCCTTGGACCTGTGAGCACTACTGAGCTCAGAGTGGGGCAGGGGGTGACTTGCTGTTGGGAGAGCTAGTGGTGTCAGGGAGCAGGAAGCAATTTAAATCCACCCCAGGGATCCTTAGGAGCTCAGCCCAGAAGTTGCACTGACTCAGCACATCCAAGCTCCGTCTCTGGCTGCTTAGCTGTGCTCTGGGGGGTTCTGGCTGCTTGTCTCACCTGTACTCTGCAGCATCACATTGCAACACCCCCGCACACCCAGGCAGTGTCTCTAATTGCAGAGAGTGAGGTGAATTTGACCCACAGCCTCTGACTTCTCATCACGGCTGCTTGCCTACCTTCATCCACGATAGCCCAGGAAATGTGATCTTTTTTATGTGCCCTTCTAAATTTGGTAGTCTCTAAGGTGCCACAAGTACCCCTGTTCTTTTTGCAGATACATACCTGGTCTACACTGGGGGCGGGGGGGGATCGATCTAAGATACGCAACTTCAGCTACGAGAATAGTTTATGGCAGGGTAGGCTGCCTGTTGTTGGCTGTGTGTGTGTTTTCTTTCAGTGCTCTGTGCAGCTAGGGGACACAGCAGACCTCCATCGAATTGCCCAATAAAACCACAGCCCCGTTTCAGTAGCAAAGGCACCTAGCCAGGTTTATTGTTGACAAAGCATGGTCCTCGCGCCCCCGATCAATGTCTACAGTTACACTAGCACATGTATGCCTGTAACAACAGACCAGCTCAGTGAATGGCAGGACTTTAATAGGCAGCAGATTTAAAACAAACAAAAGGAAGAATTTTTTCACACAACGCACGGTCAACCTCTGGAACTCATTGCCAGAATATGTTGATTCAAAAAAGCTAGATAAGTTCATGGAGGATAGGTCTATCAATGGCTATTAGCCAGGATGGATAGGGATGGTGTCCCTAGCCTCTGTTTGTTTGCCAGAAGCTGGGAATGGGAGACAGGGTATAGATCACTTGATGATTACCTGTTCTGTTCATTCCCCCTGGGGCACCTGGCATTGCTCATTGTTGGAAGACAGGATAGTGGGCTAAATGGACCTTTGGTCTGATCCCATATGGCTATTCTTATGACTTTCTGTTCCCTCCTCAGCCAGACAAAGACACTCCCTCTGAGACCATTCTTTATACACCGATACAAACATATTACGTATTGCCTCTCTGACATGGTTAGTTACCACCCTTTACCTGGTACGTGCTGGTTCAATCAAACACCTCTTTCCATCAGTGTCATCCTGACCTTATCTCCTTATCCGTTTAGGAGGGGTGAACATGTTCCTTTTATCTTTGGGGAGTGCATTTGTAGCATACTTGATATGGGGTGTTCTGGTACCATCCTTCTGGAATGTGTTTCTGTGAGTGTCCTGTCACTTCTTAGGAATGTGTGTGGTTTTGCAATACCAGCCCTGTTCTTTCAGGTTCTGTGAGCTTGCAAGCAGGCATGTATTATAACAGGGCCAGATCACATTTGCTAACTTTGTTTTTGTATCAGCAGGGTCTGACTACTACTTTAGTTCAGGCCTCTGGGCTCTGATACCAGGCCTCATGTTTCAGGCTCTCCCTTTCTACTACACCTCTGATGGCCTGTGAGCTTCCTATACTGTGAACACAGGGCCAGATTCTCAGTTGGTGTAAATAGGCACAGCTCTAACTTCACTAGGGTGAGGCCAGTTTATATCAGCCGTGAATTTAGGCGACACTCTTTGCACTGTAGTTTCTGTCTCCTCCCAAATTCAGACTTCAGTGTCTTCACATTATGTAGGAACCTTCTTTGCACTTCCCCTCCCATTTTTCATCTTACATAAAAATCCCAATTCTTTTGGCACCTCTCTGGACAAGTCTCCCCCATCCCCATCTAAATTAAGCCATTCCATTTCCCATTGCAGTACAGATACAAACATTGTGTAATGTATGCATCTCTGCCAAATACCTGCCTGCTCCAAAGCTAAAACCTTTTATCAGGAAGCAGTCAGCAAAGGAACAAAATCCACAGTGTTGTTTGGTTTTGGTATGTCAGTTCTTTTGTTGATTTTGTGTTTTGCTGGAGATGGGAGACCAAGTCTCCACCTATGTTCATCATAACAGACAAATTCAGCTTCAAAGTGGGGCTTTTAGAACTATGGGGTTCACTTTGTCAGTAGGTGCACTTGCTCTGATGGAGGAGATGATCTGCATGTTCACCAGTGTGGCGATGCTGTCGTGCTGGAAGGTGTTGGTGGTGCTCAAGTGGGTCTTTGTCTATAAATCAATCACAGATCTGGTTAAAACGTGTGTGTGGTAAAAGCTTTTTTTCAGGCTAAATGGTAGGAACAATTAAATGCTTCTTTTATGTAGTGAGGTAGCTGGAAACAACAGAAACTACCGCCCAAGGCAATGGGCCACATTGCAAGGCCAGATCAAATAAAAATGTAACCTCAGGAAATTAAGAAGGGTTTCTCCTGGGAATGGTTGCAAATGCAGGGGAAGGGGACTGTGTTTAGTAAGCTGTATGTGTTAGAGGCAGAAAGGGCTGTGATAAGGAGCTGAGACACCGAGCATCTTGGGCAGAGGACACCCTGGAGAGGCAGACTTGGAAATAATGAGAAACATCCTTCTGTTTGTACTGTGTTCAGGGGGAAAGCATTTGGTGTACGTTCTTTGTAAACAGGACTTGACCAAAGACTATATCCAACTCCTATCAGTTTCTTCTCCTCAAGTTAAACCACCTTGCAAGACTAGTATCAGAGGGGTAGCCGTGTTAGTCTGGATCTGTAAAAAGCAACAGAGAGTCCTGTGGCACCTTTAAGACTAACAGATGTATTGGAACATAAGCTTTCATGGGTGAAGACTAGTGGCTCAGGCTAAGGAATAAAACTGTATTCGCACACTCAGTGACAAGCGACATCAGGCTGAGCAACTCTGAGTATTTCAGGCAACCCAAATAGCATCTCTAATGTATGAGTACTAAGTAACTCAAGTCTTCAGTATCTTTTTACCAAGAGTTTGAAAATGTGCTTCACCTGGCACAAAACATGGCAAAATGCTGTTTCCGCTCAGAGCAGGAGAGGCTCGATAGAATTTCACTCCGGCTGCTTAAGCAACAACTGGCTTTTACTTTTTGTTGGCTAGTCAATTTAGTGCTGCTTAAAGGGAGGGAAGAATAGCACTGAGCAGAGGCACATACAGGCAGGCACAGTGCAATCTTCCCCCCCATAGCTTTGTCAGTATCTTCAATCCCCTGCTGTTCCTGGCAGGAGCTCCCGCGGGGCTGTGTCAGTGCTCCTTAATTCTATCTACAACACACCCTTCTATTTAACAGTAAATCCCTCCTTCCACTCCCTGTTTTACCCAAAGAATGGGATTCTTACCAGCACTCTCTCCTCTTTAATCCAGGGCCTCTTCTCTGGAGAAACTACCAGCCATGCTGATGTTTGTAGTGTTGTGATGGATTGCATAAATGGGGACTGGGATGAAACACACGAGATTTTTTTTGGGGGGAGGGGTGGGTGGGTTGGCTTTAGAACCCAGATTTCCACAAAAAAAGTAAGGAAAGTGCTCCCGTCCACTGCCCCTGAGTTTCTTGAGTACTTAATACGTATTAATTGTACAAGTGAGGTGGTTTGATCTCTAGTTTGTGGTTATAGCCAACAGATTAACATGCACAAGGTGTTGCTCCAGTGTGATTCGTGTGTGTTAAATGGATGTAGTCCTTGGTGTATAATAGCGTCTCCCTGAGGATGGCAATCAGCAGGGGGTTGAGAGCTATTTCCTCAGAAGCCTTTAGGGCTGCCTTCAAAGATTCCAAAAGGGCTCTACAGTGTCACTAGCAGCTTCTCTGGGGAGTTTCCACTGTCCGTCTCCCTACTTGTTTTAGCAACACAGACCTGTTGCCATAACTAGCCCAACGGTTATAATTGCTGTTCATGGTTTGGCTTATACCTCCCAGGACCAACTTAGAATTGGGAAATCACGTGAAATGCATCTAATTTTAATGAAGAAAATTTCACTTGCATGTATAAAAGACGTTCTCAGCTTGGTTGTCGCTGGCTAACTTGCCAAGTCAGATGTGACTCTCTTGCATTTGTATAAAAACATCTTGCTCACAGATTCCTTAGTATCTAATGTTACTTGTGTCCTCTGTATCTTTCTGAATAGCACTCCGATTTCATCTTGGAGATTGTTGATTATTGGGAAAATGTATGCACCCATTACTTGATGGACACATGCAACAGTTAGCAATCAATATTAGCCACAATTATTTTATTGCATTCTCCGATACTAAAGAGCTCGTCAGATCTCACCAACTACACAGTGTTGGATCTGGGTTATTACTTGGATG